AGAGATTGTGTGTGATTAATCGTATTTCCAGGAAAAACAGAAGTTTTCTTTGCTTGCTTCACTTTGTCAGCAGGCCCAGGAGAGGGAAGTGTAAATTAGTGAAATGATAATCTTGAGTGTATCTCAGTGAGATTGTCACGCACTTAAAGGATGCATTTGAGTGTGTCACTAGTGAATGCATCTAATGGGACTTTGATGAAAATACTTACTGAGGACATAAGTATTCAATAAATGTTAGGTATTATGACTGTGAATATCATCAATACAAATCTGACAATCAAGCATAACACCAAGTTACAATACCATGCGTTAATGTTGTTAGTAAATTCCTATAACACTTCTAGTTTATTTTCCCATCTGTAAAACAAGACTAATCATAAATACCCGTACAGTTGTTGTGGGGAAAATACAAAATTCTTAAAGTCTGCCTCTCACATAGCATCTATCTATCTACACATTCATTAAGCATACAGTGTATTTGGTGTTCTTGTGCTAAGTATTGGTGAATCAGTCCCAAATTGATTACCTCTGGGCTGTTGATTGATAAATCAGAGTCCTTACTTTCATAAGCCCCCTTCTTTTCTTGGACTAGAAACATAGCATGAATGTGAAATCCAGAGCTGGGGATGAAACCCAAAGCCTTGTGTATGTGAGGCAAGCACCATATTACTAAGCTACTTTCCCAGCCAACCCCGCCCCCATGCTTATTATGGTAACTACATTCGTTAAAGATGGAGTGATAAGAGTGTGCAAGAGCAAAAATTGGTGTTCAGAGGGTGGGGGAATTTAGAGATGGAGACTCATTGGTACTCAGAGATAGGGGAATTTAGAGAAAGATACCCTACTTTGAAGAGTGCTAGAGCATAAAATGAGGCTTAGAGCAGAATCTAACAAGCAGCTCTGGGTCCATGTTGCTAACTGCCATGATCATTCACTGAATTAATTAATTCATCTTTGGAAGAATTTCACTCTGGAATCCAGCACCCCAAAATAGACTATCATACAGTGTTATATAAACTATACATGTAACCTTTACATTATATATTATACATATTATAATATATAATTATACTTAAATATTACAGATATTTTCTATATTCTCACTGTTACATATTATCTCTTCTATATGTTAAATTATCTCTCTATATATTCTATATAATATCTCTATTTTATATATTCTACATATTATCTCTATTCTATAAATAAATTCAATATCTTCTCTATTAGACACCTAACTTTACATAATATAAATGATAAAGGGATAAAAGATTACCTCAATTGTCTCAATTAGTACAAAGCTCAAAGTTTATATAGTCTTTCTAAGTATACTCAGCTATTGAATAAGGAGGGTTTTAGGTGTGGATGAACTTCCAAATCTCTGTGTGTTGGTACAACTGCAAAGTCCACTCCTAATTCTTATGGCTGGTAAGTTAGGTAGCAATGACAATATCTTAGGAAGGTGACTAGACAGAAAATGGATCTTATTCATTAGTTACAGCTCCTGTGGGTTTCAGTCAGGAATTTGTGAGGTCCCTGCAGGCCCTGTTGACATTATGAATGAATGACTTTCGGGGAATGGTTCCATGCAAAAAACACTCACAAACCGATTGGTGCCCAACTGGATACTTTTTGTTTTTATTGTCAGTTGTGGGGCTTGAACTCTGGGCTTGGGCACTGTCCCTCAGCTCTTCAGCTTGAGGCGAATGCTCTACCGCTTGAGCTACAGTGTCACTTCCGGTTTTCTAGTGGTTTATTGGAGATAAGAGTCTCACGGACTTTCCTGCCTGGGCTGGCTTTCAACCATGATCCTCAAATCTCAGCCTCTTGAATAGCTAGGATTACAGGCATGAGCCACCAGTGCCTGGCCCAACTGGACACTTTTGGAACTTTGAGCCTGAGTTATAGTTTTTTTTGACAATTTTTCATTTTAAATGAAAGTGCAATGGTCAGAGTTAAGATCGAAAAAGTAATAAAAATTTTTTTTGTGAAAATCAGTTCAAGGGTCTTATAGATCCAAAATGTGAATATTGGAAGAAAGGCTGTTAGGTAATGCTTAAAGAAAGCACTACAGAGCAAGAAAGCACTACAGAGCAAGAGCCAAGACTTCATTTCCTTGGGGCTGGGAAGGTGGCTCAGTGGTAGAGTGCTTGCCTTCCATGCCTGAGGCCCTGGGTTCAATTCCTCAGCACCACATAAGCAAAAAGAAGAAAGCCAGAAGTGGTGCTGTGGCTCAAGTGGTAGAGTGCTAGCCTTGGGCTGAAGAGCTGAGGGACAGTGCCAGGCCCAGAGTTCAGGCCCCATGACCATACCCAAAAACAAAACAAACTTCATTTCCTGAGTTACTGCACAGGGTGCAGCTCTGAATGAATTGCAAGAAGGAGGAACTTGAGTAAAACCAAAGGATATGGGAAGCGAACTGGCCAGGAGGGTAGAGGAACTCAAAACCATAGCACATTGTTTACAAAAGATTACAGCTCCAGAAATGGAGAAGACTTGTAGCCAGATAAAGCCAATGCCACCTGGGGTGTACAGGGCTGTACTGTGGAGAAGAGATTAAACTTTTTCTCTGGTGCTATTAAGCAGAAATTGAATGTGAGGGTAGGTAGGAGAGGAAAGGACAAGTTTCAACTTGTAACTACTGAGTAACTTTTTGTTTTGTTTGTTTGTTGGATTCAGGGTCTTGTTGCATAGCTCAAGTTGGCATCAAACTCATGAATCATCCTGCCTCACCCTCCCAAATACTGGCATTACAGGAATGAAAAGGCTGTCATGCCAGGAGTAGGAAAAAGTTTAAATGCTAGAGCTGTCAGTAGATGAGGAAGTAGAACCCAATGATTCCTTTAAGGCTGTTTCTGTCTTCAAGGAGAATCTTCCAATACTGACATTTTCCACTTTACAGATCTTTCTCCTATTCTTTAATACACACTGTATAACCAGAGCCTCTCTCAATTTTCTAGAGGACCCCAATATATAATCAAGATGATGGTGAAGATCTGCAGCAGAGTTCTCCCAGAGTTTACTTTGCAGATTGATTTCATAGGTGAGAGCTGGAGGCTTACAAATGCCATATGCAAATTTGTTCCAGATGAGCTCTAAATATAGGACCTGGCTCTAGTTGTTCTGGCTCCATTTCACTAGAGAGGAAAACATTGGCCAAACATACTTCAGAATGAGGGAAGAGGTGTTTTAGCATCACTCAGGACAATGAACAGTGCCATAGAAGTCATTTAGAAAAGGAAGACAGTCAGTCCAAAATCTAAAGGGAGACTGGAGAACATGGGCTAAGTCTCTATTTGCAGGTAATTAAGCCCGACAAAAAAACAGTGTTTTAAATCACTTATTGCACTGAATTTTCAAGGTATGACTTCCCTTCCTCAATGGGAAAGTCTTATGTGTTTTCCTAGGAGGTCTTACCTCCCTTAATTTTGTTCATGCAGAGAAACTTCATGCACCCTACATGCACCTATGATCTATATCTGTGATGTTGTTACAATGGATTAATATATTCTGTTACAGACATATTTGTAACTTTCTATGTCTAAGTACACACATGTATATGTGCATTTTCAGTTGGTTACCAATCTAAGAAGGGAGAAGCCGGATCACACTGTGTGGCTATGTTCAGCAATTTGTGCTTTCTTTACCTTCTCCAATATTTGGCATTGTGTGCCCCATGCTTTTTTTTTCTTTTTTTGGTCAGTTGTGGGGCTTGAACTCAGGGCCTTGGTGCTGTCTCTGAGTTGTTGTTTTTTTTTTTTCTCAACGTGAGAGCTCTACTACTTTAAGCCACAGTGCTGCTTCCAGTTTTCTGGTAGTTAATTGGAGATAAGAGTCACAAAGACTTTTCTGACCAGGCTGGCTTCAATTATTGATCCTCAGATCTCAGCCTCCTGAGCTGCTAAGATTCAGGCATGAGCCACTGACCCCAGGGTGGTGGGCCTTTTGAATTTGGAATTCCTGGTGTGTGTATTGAGTGCTAGTCTTTGACAACTTATGGTCATTTACTAAATGACTAATTTGGACAAGCAATATTTCATGTATTGTTTAACAAATCTTGTTCCAACAGCAAATTGCTATTTCATATATTTTGTATGTCCTAATTTTATTATATTAGTTCTGTTTGTTTTCTAGTTTGTATATATTTCATATGACTCCTTTGTCAGTTATATGCCCTGTAAATATCTGCCTTCACTCCATGGCTTGCTCATTTAGTATTAAATTAAATGGATGACAAGTTAGACAGTTTTAGGGAACTTACTTTTCTTGCTAGCTCTGTACTCTTTGACCCATGGCATCACTTCCAGCTTTTTTTTTTTTAATGTATGTGGTTAATTGGAGATAAGTCTCATGGACTTTCCGGCCTGTGCCAGCTTCAAATTGCAATCTTCAGATTTCAGACTTCTGAGTAGCTAGGATTACAGGCATGAGCCATCAGCACCCAACTGCATATACATTTTTGAGATTATGTTGATTGTAAAAAGAAGTTATGGATCATTCTTTCCTCTCCTTCATTCTGATACTTGTTTGTTTGTTTGTTTGGTCGGTTATGTCAATCATGGGACTTGAACTCAGGTTCAAGTGCTGTCCCTGAGCTTTTTTGCTCTACCACTTTGAGCCACAACGCCATTTCCACTTTCCTGGTGGTCATAAGTCTCCAATGCAATATATAATAATTTTGTGAATATTGCTTATATATTGATAGAATTTCTCATATCCTCTTCACAATCTTCTGTGAATACCACTATCTTTCCCTCTATTCTCTACAACATTTAGCTCAAATGAAGCTAAAATTACCAAGCTCCTAGAAATCATAAGACCTGACAGTTTGGCTTTCTTGTCATTTTTACAACTTAAGAGTGTTCATCTTTAGGAGCCGAGCTTTTCAGTGCTGTCATGCTTGAAATGGTTTTGAGGTTTTGTGGTCTGTTGACACCCAGAGGAACTTAGACAACTTCAGTTTCCTTTTCTTTGTGAGCTGAACAGGGGCTTGAACAGGGGAGCATGGCAGGGCTACAGCAATCTGGATGGTACAGAGGCATCCCTCGGGGCAAGTCAGACTTGTAGCTCATCCCTGCACCCACCCTGAAAAGCATGGCTCTTCAAGGTAAGTCCAGAGGGCTGGGGGTGAGGGCCTGTGATGCTGAACAAAGGTGATCTGAGATTGTCTATCTGGTTCTGATTCACAAGCTTCATCTGTGCTTGTCCTAGACAGAAATCATCTTTGCAGTACCCACCTACCCTCCATTATTAGAAGAATATTTCTATTCTTTCTTTGTGTGGGGGATACTCTGCCCTGGGTGAAGCCTGGTCTGTATTCAGAATTAGATATAGACAACAACTTGTCTTTACTAGGGGAATCTGTTCCTCTTCCCTCCAAATTTAGCGAAAAGTATCACAGAAGATCTGGTATTGTGGGGCTGGGAAGGTGGCTCAGTGGTAGAGCGCTTGCCTTGCATGCATGAGGCCCTGGGTTCGATTCCTCAGCACCACATAAGCAGAAAAAAAAGCCGGAAGTGGCGCTGTGGCTCAAGTGGTAGAGCGCTAGCCGTGTGCTGAAGAGCTGAGGGACAGCGCCCAGGCCCAGAGTTCAGGCCCCACGACCGGACCCAAAAAAAAAAAAAAAAAAAGATCTAGTATTGTGTTTATATATACACAACTGATTCAATGCTTATCTTTTAAATGATATGTTTCTTTTTTTAATTATCAAAATCTTTAAAGCCTGTCATTGGCACTATGGTCAGATGTAGTTTGAAGCCACCTGAATATCCCCAGTCAATTCAAAGAATTAATAATAACGGCTATCAGATGCTTAGGATTTTCTAAAGAAACACATACAAAATACTGTGTGAATAATGGTTAATTCATAATAATTATAATTATTTGTTATTACTATTTTTGCCATGCTAGAGGCTGCACAGGGGTCATATATGTACTAAACTGTCTACCACTGAGCTATATCACCCAACTGTTGTAATTCTTGTTACACTTTCAAAGTACTGCATGACTCTGAAAATAAATAAATAAATCATGTAAGTAGTAATTATGAATAATATCTGCTCATTTGATAGGTAAATTCCTTTATCATTATTTCCACATAGGAGCAAAGTGGTTCAAATATGTGATATGAAATATAATGCAGAGTTAAACGAATAAGTCAGTAACACATAAACACATGTTTAGCTAGCTTCTCTAAGGTATGATTTTCATCAATAGGAATAATGAGATGATAAATGGATGGGAAGTCAGATGATATGAATTTGATCCTCTGTTCTCTGGCAATCAGATGATTGCTTTGGGAAACATTATCTAAACATTCTAGGTGAGGATTCTGGCAAACTTTTCCTATAAAGAGCTAAGTAGTAAATATTTTGAGATTTGTAGGCCAGAGGTAAAATTAAGGATAACCGACATGCACGCACGTGTGCACACGCGTGTGCGTGCGCACAAACACACACATAACCATTAAAATATAACAATTAAAAAACCAAAAAGGCCTTATTTCACAGATTGTAAAAATGAAATATGAGCCATGAGCCAGATTTGGTTTGGGGTTTTTTGCTTTCTAACCCCTGTTCTAGATAAGAATTCCCAGGAATTATAAGAAAACAGAGACTAGATCAGAAATTTTTAGCTTGATCTCATGGGATGATAGCAGAATTCACAGATAGCGTTAGAGTGGTCCACCAATCCCATAATTAGTATCCAGAAACTTGATTGTATATAAATTTGTGGGATTTTTTTAATTGGAAAAAAACAAATTTTATCAGGTTCGCAATGTTCCAAATTTCGATTTAAGTGAAGAGCCACAGGAGTGGGTCATTTCTATAAGTGCTTTCCAAATCTAAAATGCAACAAACCTATGAAAGAATATATTGGTATATATTTTATATAACCCATTGTGCTGGAACTATAAGAAATGTAGCCTGTGGTGACTAAAATAATGTGTCAAAAATATCTTTTCTTTTTTGTGCTAGTACCAGCCTTGAACTCCAGGCCTTAGGCTCTCACTCAGCTTTCTTGTCTAAGCCTGAAGCTCTGTCAGTTGAGCTATATGCCCAGTCCAGCATTTAGTAGGTTAATTGGAGAGGGAGTCTCATAGATTTTTCCTTGTCTGGCTTCAAATGATGATACTTTGGGTCTCAGACTCAAGAGTAGCTGAGATTACTAGCATGAGCTACGTTTCTCAGCTTAAAAAATACTTTAAAATGATTTTTAAGTAATTTCCCAAAGGAATTTCAATTGAACAAATCAGTTTATAAATGCAATGCATCTTGATCAATATCACCCCTTCCATCATTCTCCCCTCTCTCAATTCCATCCATATAAAAAATACTTATAAAAATTAGGACATTTTCTTTTTTCTTTTTCTTTTTTTGTCAGTCATGGGGCTTGAACTCTGGGCCTGGGCGCTGTCCCTATGCTCTTCAGCTCAAGGCGAGTGCTCTACTGCTTGAGCCACAGCACCACTTCCGGTTTTCTAGCAGTTTATTGGAGATAAGAGTCTCACGAACTTTCCTGCCCAGGCTGGCTTTGAACTGCGATCCTCAGATCTCAGCCTCCTGAGTAGCTAGGATTACAGGCATGAGCCACTGGCGCCCGGCTAATTAGGACATTTTCAATGTCCTGAACTCAGGGCCTGGGCACTGTCCCTGAACTTCTTTTGTTCAAGGCTAGCACTCTACCACTTGAGCCACAGTGACACTTCTGGCTTTTTCTGGATACATGGTACGGAGGAATCAAATCCAGGGCTTCATGCATGCTAGGCAAGCACTTTACCACTAAGCCAGATTCCCATCCCTAGATGTGCTCATTAGATGAGTTTGAGAAAAGATTCATTTTAGCTCCAATACTCCTAAAACATTATTTTATAAATTATATTCAATGCCAGATTAATTACTGGGCCTTATTGTCCTCCCTTATTTTGGGTGTCAGTGGCATTCATGACCATCTTAACCAAATGTAATCTAATAAATCTCTTTCATAAACATCTGATTTACTTCAAGGTAAAACCTGTGCTTTTCTCACTCTGGTGCAGAACAAATAGCCAGCATCCATGAGCATCTGTGTGAATTTCTGAACAGAATGATAAAAGGTATGAGTATTGAGATGTTGTGCTATCAATACTCAATTCTTGGGACTCCTAATAGTAGCTTTTAACCCCAAAGATTGCTTCTCTTTTCATTTGGCTGTAACCATGATTTCAAAATACTTGATTAACTAAAAGATTGCAGTTCCTGAGAGTTAAGTCATTTGGTAAACAAGAATAACGATGGTGATATGTTCCCCACATGGCAGAGAGGAGTAGACTGACAAAGGTGCTTGCAACCTGCTCTGAGAGGAGGTGAGTGGAGAGTGAAGTATTGTTAATGGTCATCGGCATCTGAGCTCTTCCTGCTCAGAGTTTGGCTCTCTTGGGTAAAGCATTATACATGGCTGGAAGGTAATCCAAAAGTCAGATCAAACAGAATGAGGGTACCTCTAGGCTCCTGGCATTCTGACTGAGCTCCATCCTCTGACAATCAATAATGCAAAAGGAATCCCAGAACACCACCGAGCAGGGCAGTGATTTGTGACACATAATCCTCTACTTTCTGGGAATAATTTTATTTTCTTTATAAAGAAACTTCATCTGCCATCGCTACAGCAATTCATTTCTACGAGAACATTAAAATCAGAAGATTTTTAAACCTTTACAACATATTGACAAAAGGTGCACTGAGTTATGTAAATAACTGGGGTTGTTCTTGAAATATCAACCTATGTGGAGATGGCAAATAATGCAAGAAAGTTGTTGAAGGGGACAAACAAAAAAGCATTGTGCCAGGGACTTTGGACTGAAGTTATGTTAGTCTGAGCACATTTCTCTGTCAGGGGATGGAGATGCACTGAAGGGAGGAGGTGGTAGCTCTGTTCAAACACTGTGAAAAGTAATAGAGCACTGTAAGCAGGATCTGTGTGTGAGCTGGGGTTGGCTTGGAGCAAACTGGCTTTGTGAGATGGAGCTGCACTGATGGATTGATGCATGAGAAGATGGATGTTGCTCAAACAGCATTGATCTGTAGCACCTGGTCAGAGTCATTCTGAATTCATTCCTCTTTAAGGAATATTTTTACTTGGTGCCCCAATGTCAATACCTACATTGATAACACCTCCTATACATACACCAAATAGTATTCATCACCCAGAGTCACATGTAGATGAGGGCAGGTATGTAAGCCCCTTTTAAAGATTTGGAGGACTTCTTGTTCCTCCCACTCTGATGTTGCCTTAACCTCTGTCTCCTTCCAGTCAAACCCTTACCTCTCCATTAAGCATTACTCCAAATGCTTGGCGAAGCCCCTTGTGTTTCCATTTCAGTACAACTGACTTAAACCTATGACAGCTACTTTTATTTGGTGGGGTGAGCAAAGGCCTAAGAGGGACCTATACTAAATACTTCAGGTTTGTAAGCCACACATTAACAGCTGGAGCTAGTTGGCAGGATGGCTGTAGTGTGCAAACTCCCAAGAGCACTGGCTGTAATAAAATAAAGCTCTAACTTAGAACAAGTTGACTCCTGTACAGTACTAAAGACTAGATGACAACTTTAAAAACTGCAGAGCTGACATACCTGTGGCTCATACCTGAAATCCTAGCTACTCGGGAGGCTGAGATCTGAGGACTGCGGTTCAAAGCCAGCCCACATAGAAAGTTTTGTGAGACTCTTATCTCTAATTAACCACTACAAAAACAAGCCAGAAGTGGAACTGTGGCTCAAGTGATAGAGCACTAGCCTTAAGCCAAAGAGCTCAGAAACAGCACCCAGGATTCGAGTTCCAGGATTGGCATCAAAAACAAAACAACAAAACATACCAAAACAACTAATTGCAGTATAATAGAGGGAAATACACACCTGGGTTTGAAAAAATTCTGGAGGTACCAGCACTTCTCCCCTAGAGTTTTCATTTAAAATTTAGCCTTAGGGGCTGGGAAGGTGGTTCAGTGGTAGAGTGCTTGCCTTGCATGCCTGAGGCCCTGGGTTCGATTCCCCAGCACCACATAAGCAATAAGAAAAAAGCTGGAAGTGGCGCTATGGCTCAAGTGGTAGAGCGCTAGCCTTGAGCT